AAAACCACATGTACATATGTATTCACAGGCTTTCCCATGACACTCAAAACTGAGCTCTTGTTCATCCTGTTCCCACTGTTCACTGTTTCCACAACTTGATTGGAGTCCACCTGTGAGAAATTCAGTTGATTGGACATGAATAGGAAAAGCATAAACCTGTATATAGAAGGTCCCACAGTTAACAGTGCATGTCAGAGCACAAACCAAGCCATGATGTCCAAGGAATTGTCTGTACACCTCTGAGACAGGATTGTATCAGATCTGGGGAAGGGTACAGAAAAATTTCAGCAGCATTGAAGGTCCCAATGAGCACAGTGACCTCCATCATCCATAAATGGAAGACGTTTTGAACCACCAGGAATCTTCCTAGAGAGAGCTACACGGCAAAAATGAGCGATCGAGGGAGAAGGGCCTTAGCCAGGGAAGTAACCAAGCACCCGATGGTCACTCTGAAAGAGCTCCAGCGTTTCTCTGTGGAGAAAGGAGAACCTTCCAGAAGAACAACCATCTCTGCAGCACTCCACCAATCAGGCCTGTATGATAGAGTGGCCAGACGGAAGCCACTCCTCAGTAAAAGGCAAATGGCAGCCCACCTGGAGTTTTGCAAAAGGCACCTGAGGGACTCTCAGACCATGAGAAACAAAACTCTCTGGTCTGATGAAAAAAAGATTGAACTCTTTGTCCTGAATGCCAAGAGTCAAGACTGCAGGAAACCAGGCACCGCTCACCACCTGGCCAATACCATCCCTACAGTGAAGCATGGTGGTGGCAGCATCATACTGTGGGGATGTTTTTCAGCAGCAGGAACAGGGAGACTAGTCAGGATCAAAGAAAAGATGAATGCCGCAATGTACAGAGACATCCTTGATGAAAACCTGTTGCAGAGTGCTCTAGACCTTAGACTGGGGTGATGGTTCATCTTTCAACAGGACAATGACCCTAAGCACAAAGCCCACATAACAAAGGAATGAATGTCCTGGAGTGGCCCAGCCAGAGCCCAGACTTGAACCCGATTGAACATCTCTGGAGAGATCTGAAAATGGCTGTGAAGCGACGCTCCCCATACAACCCGATGAAGTTTGAGAGGTACTACAAAGAAGAATGGAAGAAACTGCCCAAAAATAGGTGTGCCAAGCTTGTAGCATCATACTCAATATGACTTGAGGCTGTGATTGGTGCTAAAGGTGCTTCAGCAAAAGTGTTGAGCAAAGGCTGTGAATACTTATGTACATGTGTTTTTTTCATTTTTTATTTTAATATTATTATACAGTATTTATAAAGCGCCAACAGTTCGCTCAGTGCTGTACATTACAATGGGAGACAGAACATGCGACAGTACAATAACAATACAATGCGATACACGAGGGGTTCAAGGGCCCTGCTCCTTGGAGCTTACAATCTAGGAGGGAGGGGATAGTGGTACAGGAGGAAATAGCTGTGAGGGATGGAGTGGTAGGAAGAGTGGAGGAAGTTGGGAATTAGCAGGGGGTGGGGTAGGCTTCCCTGAAGAGGTGGGTTTTCAGGGTGCACCTAAAGCAGAGGAGAGTAGGTGATAGTCTGATGGATTGGGGTAGGAAGTTCCAGAGTATGGGTGACACCCTGGAATCCTGAGGAAGCCACATGACTATCGTGGAGTAAAGCGTAGAGCGTGGTGACGTATTTCCGGTTGGAGCACAGTGACGCACTTCCGGTTCCGGTTCACGCCATCTTTATGCACTCATTGTCTCTTAGTACACCCATAGCACATGGGAAACTGCTGGTCTGTACCTGGATAAATGTGAGTGTCCTTTTTTTTGGCGTTTTTATGTGATTCATATTAAACATTATTACACTATGGAGGTCTCCTTTGTGTATCCCTCTATGGCCTTGGTGTTCATCGTACCTGTGAGTCCTACCACGCTGATCATACATATAGAGGAGCATCAGCTTTGTCATTGGAGTCTTAGTGGAGCCAGAGAAGCCAGTGAAGGCAGGTGTTTGAGATTCCTCCAGGTGTGGAACATCTGATGACCAAATGAGCTGTGGCCCCTAGGGGTCGAGTATAGGAGGTGAGGAGGCACTCTAGCCACTTAAGGATAGATGCACTAGAGTGTCACCAGAGCACACATCAAGTTTGGAGTGGAGAAGCAAAGCACTATTTTTATTTTTGCAGATTTTGCACACCAACATTTTGCACATATTGGCTGCACTGTATTTTGTGATTATAATTATATTGCATTTTGAGCACTTGTCACTTTGTTTGATTTGATTGAGTGGCACATCACTGATTTACTCCACCAGATTGGTGTGGATAGCCATTGGTTGGCAGATCAGTCATTTGTTTGCACTTTAATGTGGATTGTCTTTCTGTGATTATATGTACATTAGTATATCTTGAGCACTTGCCACTTTGTTTGAAATAGATTGAGTGGCACATTATTGATTTATTTCACCATATTGGTTTGGTTAAGCTTTGACACACTAGATAATTCCCAAGGGTTTGCACATTATCATTAGTGTGTTATATTAACACCGTATCACTGTGGAACCATAATTATTTATTATTTGCATTTTCATATTGCTCGTCTATATTATGTTCATCTATTCATTTCAATATTGATTTCAACATTTTAATTGAGATATGGGGATTTAGTTTTGTGGCACTTTATTTATAATCTAATGTAAAATATTTTATATATTGCACTTTAATTTTGAACATTATGTTAGTATAGCGCTTCACCATTTTTTTATTACATTTGATTTTTATCTCTTTGGTATAGGGAAGAGGATATAGCAGCTGGCACTTATATTAAAAATATTTTGTGTATCAGTTGAGCGCAGGAGGATCTCCCACCTTTGGTTTTGCGCCATAGTCGCTCCAGTGCACAACTGCGTTGTTTGAGAGTTTTGGTGTGATCAGTCTGCCAGGGCTGGAGCGGTCGGGGATGTTTTGTGTGGTTAAAGGCGCTAGCGAGTCAAGCGCGGTTGACAGCGAGTTGTTATAGGCGGTCATGGCCAGGTTGGGGCAGGACAGGGGAAGGATGCTGTCGTAAAGTTGATCAGCTGTAGTAATATATTGCAAAGATTTCAAAACTAACTTCTTTCACATTGTCATTATGGGGTATTATTTGTAGAATGTTGAGGAAAAAAATGAATTTAATCCATAATCCATTAAGTCTGTAACATAACAAAATGTGGCAAAAGTTAAGTGCTGTGAATAATTTCTGGATGCACTGCAGCTCTTTCTTTTAGTGGTATTTAATCACCACTGGGGTATTTCATCTCTTTACTATATAATAAGGAAAAAAAGGAAAAAAAACTGAACATTTTGAAAAAAAAACAAAACTTTTTCTTTCTGTTCTAATACAAATGCAATAAACAAGAGCATATTAGTTAGTCTGTGTGAAAGTTATAGAGTCTACAAACTTTGGTTTATATATTTACAGTTTATCAGTTCTAGTGTATAGACTGCATATCGTATATTTTGAATCCCTAAAATTCCAGGACAGTATCAACACCCCAAAAACAACCTGTTTTTGGAAATTAGACACCCCAAAATAATAAGTAAGAGACGGTGATTTTTTTCAAGACATTTTTTCAAACACATCATAAGCATTCTTAAAATTACACCCCACAATACATTCTGCTACTTCTCCAGAGTATGGGGATGCCACAAATATGAGACTTTTGTGCAGCTTAGCTGCAGAGAGGGCCCAAAGAGGAATCTTCAAGCCTTCAAGGTCATATATTTCACATACGATTTCCTGAGGACCCATCACATTTTCAGGGGGCTCAAGGTATTTGACAAGAGACATGGTAAGTCCTTTGAAGTTTTTGGAAAATGCAGATGGAAAATGCATTTTTATTTCCACAAAGTTGTAATTTTAATAATAAGATTTTTCTCAAACACAGCATAGGCATACTTCGAGGTATACCCCAAAACACATTCTACTACTTCTACTACTCAACTTGAGTATGGAGATACCATATGTGTGAAAGTGTTTTTCAGTCTAGCTGTGTAGAACTGGCCAGTCCACATGTGGTTAATATTAGAACGTGCCGTAGGATACTGAGCACTCAAAATATATGGGTTCTAGTCTTTGTGAATTACAGTCATCCTGTGGTAGTATCAGGATCTGGGTCTGAACTTGTGACCTCGACAGGCTCTGGCTGTGGCTCTTCTAACTGTGCCAGCAGGGAAGCTAGAGAGTGCCCTGACTGATTTCTTGGACAACCTTGCTTTGTGTCCTGTTTCTACTGAGTCTTGAACCCTTTGCCCTCCCAATAACTTCCTGATTTAGGCCATGTCTCTGAACTTCCTGTTTGCCAGATTATTGTGCTCTCTCCAGCTGATATCTTGCTCGTAGCTTTCCTGCTGTTGTCCTTATGTTCATCAACTACATTTCCATCTGATGCCATTTAGCTACTACTTGTTACCGATCTTTGTCTTGTTTACTGACCATGCATGATTCCTACCTGCTACTGGACCTCAGATGGCTCACCTCCTGGTTGGGTGATCCTGAGGATCCTGGTAGTAGCACACAACAAAACCAACCTCCACCATCAGGAGCTCTGGTGAATACCAGTACTTAGACCCCGCACCTTGTGTGAAGCAGTGCCATCCGCTAAGAGGATCTACTTGGTATATTTCCTGCTGACAACTCATGAACCTGTCTACTACTACAGCCGTTGGCCTCCAAGCCTGATCCTAGACAGCGACAACTACATTTGTCAGTTCTATGTCATTCCATTTTGCTCCCTCTTTATGAATTTCTCCTAAACCTGTTACCTCATCTACCTACTCTTCTTGTCTCTGATTCTTATTATGTCAGATCAGTCTCAGCTAACATGTTCATGAACTTGCTATTGTGCTCCTGCATCTCTGCATGTTACCAGGCTGTGCTATTATTCCGGGAACATATTCTTTACAATGAAAAGTCAAAAGGGAGGATGAAAATACAAAGTAATCTCTGTAAAAAAAAAATATTTCTAACCAAATATATTCAGAAATCCTACAATACCTTGTCAGAGAAGACAAAGCCCACGATGCCTGCAGACAGCTGCAGTAGGAAGACTATTGTCAGGCAGATTGAGAACTGAGGAAAAGAACCACAGGAAACTAATTTTATTATGGTACACATCAAAATAAATGCACAAAAGTAAAAAAGCAACTACAGACCCAAATAATAGCATCAGCATCATCATCCTGCAGCATACATAACATGGTAATGTAAGGATCAATACACAGTGTGATAATAACAGGTTCAATCCACACTTGCAGTTTCAAAACTGTATTTATATGCTGTGATTTGGGGAATTCAGCTCAGTGGTTGAAGCATTTGTAAGTGAGAACCAGGGGCGTATTTACCACAAGGCAAACAAGGCATTTGCCTAGGACGGCATTTGTTAGGGGGCCTGGAAGAAGGGACATATGCGGCATGGGGACCGGGTGGGATCCAAGAGAGGCTGTGGGCTGCTTGATGGTGTATGCAGAGCCCAACTATTGTTTCCAGGGATGTCCAGAGTTGTGAAGGTGAGTGTCTCTCTCTGTCGCTGTGGGGGGAGGTGAATGTTAGTGGAAGGCTCTCTTGGGTGGGGGGGACGGGGCAGGGGTATTGTTGGTCAGTGTCCGGCTCTCTCCGGATATATGTCAATATATTTGGGAAGAATATTTTAAAAACATATTTCAAATATATTTTTCTTCCATAATGGTGTATTCACGCTTCTGTGATCTGAACGTTGTGGTTTGACAGATAAAGTAAATGCTTGTTTGCAGTGGGAGGGCAGTGTGGGAAATCAATCAGCCCAATGTTTTCAATGCAATGCTGCACACTGCAAGCGTAGATAGTTCTGAATAGTTTTTTGGCATTCTTTCTGTTTGTATTTCATTAGGAAAGATATTGTTTTGAATATTAAATAAAAGCCAGATTCACAGAGAAGGAAGAAGAGGAGAAGGAAGGAAGAAGAAAAGGAAAATGGTACACTGGACCGATCATAAAAAGATGACGCTGCATTCGTTTGTAAAACTTACAGTTTGAAGGAGGCAGATGTTTTCCCGTAGAGATCCAATACATCCACAGAAGGTAATGAGGAACATCAAAACACCAACTGCTATCAGAAGTAAAGCAGGATCAATGGCAAGACAAGCCATAGCAGCCTCTGTGGAACATTCACAAGCAAAATATTAGATCAGACAGACAGTGACACTGTCATGTTTAACACTTCTGCAACACAGGCAAAAAAAGGCCACTTTTATAGGCATCTGGCTTTTTTTTTTACACATATGAAAGCTGCTCTAGGTTATCTAATGTTCATTTGCACATTCTTTCATTTTGTGTATTTTAGAGCAGCGTGTTAAAAAAATGCCCCAAGCCTGCATTTAGCGAGGGTTTTTTTAGAGTACAGCTGTATATGTGTAAATGTGTCTAAATGCGCACATATTTATTTTATTTCTGATACTTATACAGCGCCATCAATTTCCACAGTGCTTTACATATATATTCTACATTCACATCAGTCCCTAACCCTCAAGGGGTGTACAATCTAAGGTCTCTAACTCACATTCATACTGGGGCCAATTTAGAGAGAAGCCAATTAACCTACCAGCATGTCTTTGGAATGTGGGAGGAAACCGGAGTACCCGGAGGAAACCCACGCAGGCACAGGGAGAACATGCAAACTCCAGGCAGGTGGTGTCGTGGTTGGGATTCAAACCAACGACCCTAGTACTGCCAGGCGGAAGTGTTAACCATTTAGCCACTGTGCTGCCCATACACATATGCCCGTAAATGTATTTTAGTGGCTAGAATAAATGAACATTCTAGTCAACAGAATGAGTTTATGCTTATACTCTTCTAACTGCCATACTCATGGAAATGTGCATACAGAAGCACATAAACACGCATACATATGAATCACTAGAGACATTTTTTTCTGACAACTTCTGGCAGCGTATTTGGAGCATAAATTCATACACCCATGTGCATTTAGTCTATTTGTACATTACAGGAGTGGCAGTGCCTTGTCTAGGAAAAAAACGCGCCCCCCCCCCCACCATGTGCAGTCTAGAAATAAAATGCCCCCCCCCATGTGCAGTGAACAGGGGAACAATTATTAAAAATTTATGGATGCTGCCTATCATTTCATTGTCTGTTTCCAATATATCAAAATATTATCATGCTCCCTATTGACCAAATCCTTCTAATACCATACAGTCTTGGATGATCCACTTTGGGTTAGCCTTAAAGCAGTTGAATTACCCCCCCCCCTTCCCCGGGCATTGATGGCATCTTTTGACTATAACCTCAAAAATAGATAAAATGTTACCATTCCCATAATAAAACACACTCTGAATTTATGTGATGACAAATTCCTCAGTAACCCACTGTCCCCTCCATCTTTCCCTTTTGAAATTTTTAAGCTTCACCAAATTTTACCGAGGAATAAAAATACTTGTCACATTTAAAACCTACAATAAGAGTGGAATCAACTGCACATGCAATCTTCTATCGCATAAAGACATGAAAGACCTCCCTGATCATCAATATTTCCTCAAACATCTAAGCTCAGAGATATTTCATTAACTCCAATTAACCACTTGCCTACAGGGCACTTATACCCCCTTCCTGTCCAGGCCAATTTTCAGCTTTCAGAGCTGTCACACTTTGAATGACAACTGCGAGGTTATGCAACACTGTACCCATATGAACTTTTTATCATTTTTTTTGAGACCGATAGAGCTTTCTTTTGGTGGTATTTAATCACCTCTGGGTTTTTATTTTTTGCTAAACAAAACAAAAAAAACTGAAAATTTTGAAAAAAAAAAAACAAATTTTTTCATAGTTTTTGTTATAAAATTTTGTAAATAAGTGATTTTTCTCCTTCACTGATGTACTTTAATGAGGCTGCAGTGATGGGCACTGATAGGCTGCACTGATGGGCACTGATAGGTGGCAATGATGGGGAGGCACTAGTAGGTGGCACTGATGGGCATTGACAGGCAGCACTCATATATGGCACTGATAGGCGGCACTGACTGGCACTGATAGGCGGCACTGACTGGCACTGATAGGCGGTACTGATAGGCAGCACTGACTGGCACTGATAGGTGGCACTGACTGGTGACACTGAAAGGCAGCTCAGATGGGCACTGATATGTGGCATTGATGTGCATTGGTAGGCACTGATATGTGGCATTGATGAGGCACTGATGAGCACTGACAGCTGGCATTGATGGGAACTGACAGGTGGCACTGCTGGGGCTACACTGATCATCAGGGCACACTGATCATCAGTGCCCTGATGATCAGTGCACATGTCCCCTCCAAAGGAATGCCGATTACCGGCTCTCCTCTCGAGCTGTCAGCGTGACAGCTTGTAAGGAGAGAAATGCAGATAACCGGCATTTCCCTATTTACATGCGATCAGCTGTGATTGGAACAGCTGATCACGACAAAGCTGACATCTTTGGCTCTTTCCATTGATCAGTGATCCGCTGTGCGCTCCCAGAGCCGCGCACGCGTGGTTAGATTGGAAGGACATCATATGACGTCCTCCCAGAACAAGAGAACCGCCTTGCGCCTGTCATTACCTTATATGGTGGGCGGGAGGCGGTTAAAACCACTTGACTATGACATTTGTATGGAATCAGCCACCTCCTCTATCTTAAACTGGCTTTGAGAGAAGATGTTCGAATGTCTTACTGGACTCATGACCGAGCTGTAAAAGATAACTCTTGATCCCTGCTGATGATCGATAGCTAGCGGGACCAGCTTTGGTGACCATTGTGACAGCCAATCACAGTGGTTGCTCGGTTGGCCAATCTTTCCCATCGGCGATCACACCAGCGTGGGCAGGAAAGAGTTAAAGCTAAAGATAGGGCTAACTGTAACTGTTCTTAAAAACGTTCCCCCTTCCTCCCACTTATCCTGTATAATATAAAAAAAGGTCTGTTTACATACCTTTTTTTAGCCCTGGTTCACATATGTGCGTTCCTGTGGTCCGCGTTTTACTCGGGCACGAGAGCCCATTCATTTTAATGTACTCTCGTGCCCTGGGACACGCAGGGAAGAAGTCCCTGCACTTCTTCTGAAATCACAGCCCACATGGGAACCTCGGGCGGCGTACCATTAGAATTAATGGCACCCTCCTGCGGGTCCGCATTTCTCTGTGCAGGTGGTGTGGCTGTACGTTTTTTTTGCAGATCCACAGCAGCACCATCTGCACATATGTGAAGCTAGCCTTACTCCTGTCTGATCTAATCAAATGATCCAGCAGCTCTGGCTCCCCTGTGTCAGAGAGTGGCTGCTGCAAGGGAGAGGAAGGAGCACCATCAATGGATGGACCATGGGCCTATGGCTGACGTCATAGCTCCAAGAATTCACTACCATTGTCGAGTGCTCCCTTACACGGGTGAGCCAGGGTTGCAAGATCACATGACTGGACTGGATTGAAAAAAAAAAAATAGGTATGCACAAATTTTTTTTTTATATACAGGGTATGCAGAATAGGTAGGAGGACAGAACATTTTAAAAACAGTTAGCTTTTACTGCCACTTTAACTTTATTTGAGGAGCACAAAGTGACAGTTTATTTACTTAGGCTGGCCATAGATGGGCTTTTTATCAGCCGAATTGTCGGCCGATAAACGAAAATTCGGTTGTTGCTGCCATGGATGCTGCCAGCAATGCTTACGAAAAATGGCTGTTTTTCGTGGATTTTTTAGCATGACCGATAAAAAGAAACGAGAAGATCAGCAAAAAACGGCCAATGGCATGCCCCACTAACGGTGTGAATATCGGCCGATTTTTCATTCGGAGGAAAATTCGGCCGATAAACGACCAGTCTATGACCTGCATTACTTCTGCTGTGTGGTGACATTTTATGCCTAAGGGCCCTTTAAATGGGTGATCAGATCAGATCTGTCTGCCAGTATTTAGGCAGACCTGATCGGATGGTCCTTGCATTCCAATGGACCAGTAGGTGTAAATGGACTTGTGTCTATTCACAGTCACCTAGATCTGGGTCCGATCAAGCCTGCTAAAAAAAATGGAGGAGGACTCTTCCATTTGGGAGGACCGGATCAGAGGCAGATAGGTGTAAATGGACAGTGGAGTCTCTTTACTCTTGGCCACCCATAAAGCACAGCAGGGTCTGCACTCTGAAACTGAGCACACACAGACCTGTCATCCGCCTGCTCTGCCCTGAACAGCAGGGGATCTGTGATACTGATCGGAACGCAAACTGCCTATGTGACAGAGCCCTAACTGTGCACTGCGGTAAACTGCTACGTCTGAGTTTTATCGCAGTTCGCTGCACCACTCCTCCAGACTGCCTTTCCATGTGCCCTAGCAGTGACTGGCACTTATACCAGTCATCATATTATGTGTGAATGAGCCAATAGAGTAGTAACACAGTATTGCCAATCAACTATTTTTATTGTCCACTTTAAGCTGCAGGAAGGTCATTTCCTCCTGGTTGTCATAGGTTTATATACTCTTTATCTGTACCTCAATAGGACCACAAGTGGGATTAAAGTCTTGTAAATATTTTCTGCAAGAATATTCAGAAAAAAGCAAAGGGTTACAGATCCAGCTCAATGACATCACCCCCAGTTTCCTGTTTTAAAGACATGCGGGCTTTATATATACACACAGATAATATCATGGTAAAATTTCACTCTGTGTGTCCAACAAGAGCTTTGCAGTGAATGCAAGAAACATGGAAAGAAAAGATTCGGAAGTCTCCACCACTCACCAGCATGTTTCAAGAGTCTAGCATACACTCCGATTCCCACCATCACCAGAGAGATGACCTAGAAATGCAGGAACAAAGCATCATTAACAAATACAATGACTACTCAATCTTAACCACTTGCCCTCCAGAGGATTTACCCCCTTCCTGACCAGGCCATTTTTAGCGTTACGGTGCTGCATTAGTTTAACTGACAATTACGCGGTCATGCAACGCTGCACCCAAATGAAATTTACGTCCTTTTTTCCCACAAATTGAGCTTTCTCTTGGTGGTATTTGATCACCTGTGCATTTTTTATTTTTTCCTCTATAAAAAAAGGCCACAATTTTGAGAGAAAAACAATATTTTGGACTTTTTGCTATTAAATGTATTCTGCTACATGTCTTTGCTAAAAAATCCCAATACGTGTAACTGGTTTACACGTGTCCGTGTGCTTCACTGTAAGCACAATGCTTTGGCTGTGCACAGCCATCCAAAGCAGTGTGCACAAGCTGACAGGGAGCAGAACTGTTTTGTTTACAAACAGTTCTCCTTCCCGTCGGAGATGCTCGGCAATCACCGGGTGCCGGCAAGTAATCATGGGGCCCCCTACCCGGAAATGCAAAATCAGGTATATTTACGTGATTTTGCGCACCCGAGCCACCCTGTAGCAGTATTTCTGCTATAGGGCGGTTGGGAAGTGGTTAACATTGCAATCAAAAAACTGAATAAAGACTTAAAGTTGAACTAAAAGCAAAACTTTTTTTTTTAAGTTTTGGATAGAGTGGAGACAGATTAGAACCCCCTGTCAGTTTTTATTGCTGTCTGTGCCCCAGTTAGGAAGATTCACCCTCTCTATTTGTCCTGTTTTCCATTATCATTGAAAGTAAAAGAAAATCCCAGATTTTGGGTTGTCCCCAGAAAAATAATAGAAGGGGAAATCTTCTAATTGGAACACTAGTTCTGGTGATCTGATGGTCCCCAAGATATTCCCTAAAAGTGAAGGGAAATCTCCGCAATGGGACACGGATGGCCAAAAAAAATCTGGGGTTATAACACTCCCTTACTCTATCTAAAATGGAAAAAAAAAAACCCTATAGTTCTACTTTAAAGAACATGTAAACCCAACATTTCATATTCCTGATATCTTCCTGCTATACCATGTACTTGTATGAAAACATATCCTGTTCTCTTTGTATTGCTTTCTTTGTGTGAAATCCCTGGTGTTCCTGCCAGTCCCTCTGCTTTCCTATTAAAAACTGACCACACTGGGCAGGAGAGCACAGCACAGTCAGTTTTCTAGCTATGCTTGGAACTCAGTATGCTCTGCTCCAATCATCAGACTTGTCCTGACTCCCCCCTGCACAGCCTATCACTAGAAAGCTCAGTATGCTGCTGTTTCTTCTCCCCCACATCTCTGTGCTGCTGAGAACAGAGGGAATGTGATCCCTTATAAAAAAGGGAAAAACTTTTTATTGATACACAAATCTTTTGCCTTTCATTTCTATTTTAGACTAAGTTGTTTTACAAGGTGAGGGTTTACAAACGCTTTAACATTTCTCTTATTTTTGGCAGATTTTTCAAAGGTTAGACCCCCTGTGCAGTTGTTATTTCTATCGGTGTCCACATGGGGTGATTCATCTTTCTATTTGTACTGGTGTCCATTGTCACTAAGAAAGAAAATAAGAAGAATCCAAAACTTTGAGTTGTCCCTAGCAAAATGTTACTTTGTGAGATTTCTCATAACTTGTTGCATCAACAGGACAGGAAGTGAAGATACATTTTCTCAAAGGTACATAGAGAGTAAATAATAACCTGTAAGGGATTTTAACTCCTCCCTAACCAAATCTTAAAAGAAAAAGTTTGGGCTATACATATACTTTAAGGGTCCATGTACATTGGCATAAACCAGTCTTTCTCAGCCAGAGTGCCCAGGCACCCTGGGGTGCCTTGAGGTTTCTTCAGGGGTGCCTTGGCAAAATGTCTAAAAATTGCCCAAAACTTGTATACAAACCAGCCTTTTAGTTACACAAAGCCACAGGTTTTCATTGTGCACCATTATGACCTTCTAGCTGCTGGCGTCCTGACAACCAATGATAAAATCAGTTGATAAGGAGGATGTCAGTTGCCTGCACAGCATCCTAGTTTTACCCTCCCCGCCCCTCTCCATTAGTGCTGGGCTCACATTAGCTCAGTGATGGAGAAAAACTGAAGGAGAAGAGAAACAATGGAATACTAGGCAGTACAAGTGTGCAAAAATGTATTTGCTTTGGAAGAATAAATCACCTTTAATATTGGGTGTCCTACATGTGTGGTTGTTACTGCGTTATATAAAACTTTTCACGTTTAGAATAGGGTGCCTCAAGACTTTCCATCATTTTAAAGGGTGCCTTGGGACTGTGTTTCATTTTTAAGGGTGCCTTGACTGAAAAAAGGTTGAGAAACACTGGCATAAACAATTCTGTTTATGCATTCTTTTGGTGTTTTTTTTCTTCTGCCTGTATGCAGCTCTATGTTGGTCTATTTGTCCATGTTCATTAGGGAGTATACAGATATATTTGCAGAGAAGCGTTTTCAGACGCAAAAAAAACCCTCAGTATCATGTTTTTGAGAGGAGCTTACGGGCAGAAGAATGCCTGATGCACACAAACGCTCATAAATGTGGTGTTTAGGAGCGTTTGGCATCTTCAAGTGTACATTATTGCTATTACACAGTATTTATATAGCACCAAAGGGTTTGCTCAGCGCTGTACAGTAGCAAGGGGGACAGAACATGAGATAAGATGGTAGCAATACAATACACGAGGGGTTCGAGGGCCCTGCTCTTTCGAGCTTACAATCTAGGAGGGAGGGGAAAGTGGTACAGGAGGAAGTGGCTGTGGGGGATGGAGTGGTGGGAGAAGTGGAGGAGATCAGATTGTTAGGGGGGGTGGGGTAGGCTTCCCTGAAGATATGGGTTTTCAGGGTTCCCCTGAAGGGAGGAGGGTAGGTGACAGTCTGATGGATTGGGGTAGGCAATTCCAGAGGATGGGGGAAGTCCTGGAGAAGTCCTGCAATCGGGCGTGGGAGGAGGAGACCAGGGAGCTAAAGAGTAGGAGGTCCTGTGAGGAGTGAAGGGCACGGGTAGGGTGGTATTTGGGTATCAGGTCGGTTAGGTAGTTTGGGGTGGCGTTATGAATGGCTTTGTAGGTCAGAGTTAGCAATTTGAATTTGATGCGCTGGGCAATCGGGAGCCAGTGAAGGGATTGGCAGGGTGTACATTGATTATAGTAAAAAAAAATGAGCAGAGGGGAATGTTTTGTACAAAAAATGGTTATAAAAGTAAATGCCATAAACTCTTGTGTAATATGAGCCACTATGAGCATTTTTCTGCTGCTTTTTCCTGTCAGAGGTTCTGACATTTTTTTCATCCGCTTCGTGTGCATGGACCCTTAGATGTACAGGTATGTAGAGCTTCATGGGAGTTAATATTTATAAACCTAGAACTTGGAAGAGGCGTACCCCTGAGGACGTGCATGCGCATGAAACACGTTGGGTGGAGCCGCCATTTACTGACGACATGCCGCCGCTGTCGATGGTTGGAGCGGTGGCCATCTTGGTACACTTTTTATGTTTTTTGATTTCTGTCTCCACTCGGATAGTTTTTAATGTTCTAATAAATACTACACTATATGCAACTTTATTGGCTCCCGTGGTGAGCTATTCCCTCTAGGACAAGAGCTGACTTCCCATCCCAGTGCTCAGGACGAATTTGGTCCGGTTTAACCCTTTGGCCTCCTTCCATTCTCAGATGTTTAATGCTTGATTGCCTGTTACCAGTTTTCATCTAGTGAGTGTACATCCGAGAGAGGTGGTGGATTCTTTTGTGTGATCATCAGCACGTTTGCACTCTGCATCTTAATTATACTGCGCCTTATGATTTCACGGACAATTGCTTCCATTTATGGATATTTGACTATATAAATAGCACGTTTAACCACGAACATTGATGTAGAGTTTTACCTATTTATGTATCTCAGATTGTATATTTTATTGTAACATCATTTACTACTGCACTTTACTTCACTGATCACCATGGACATTATTGTATTTAGATTCTGCCCCTGATATACTTTATTGTTTGGCATTTGCTTTTTGAGCTGTTTAGCTAATATTTTCATGCTTTTACTTGATGCACTTTACTGTTTCACAAAGCTCACTACATTCATGATGCACTTTACCATATTGTTTGATTTTTAGATTTCGCATTTACTACTGTTTTTTGCACTTTTATGTGTTGCACTTTACCATTCCGCAATATATATATTTTTTTGTAGCGCTGCACTTTCTTATATATTTATAAACCTGTTTCTATGTATAAAGAGTAATTATAGTTCCATAGGGGCAGCCATATGTGCTCATTACATACCCAGGCTCTGCCTTAGGGCTGCCACCTTATCTCTTTAAAACCGAACACATATTAATGACACAGCTTCTGAGGTTGATTTAATGCAGGTAAGGCACTAAGTGAGTTTACTTACCACTATAATCAGCCACAGAACCTGTGTCATTAATATGTGTTTGGTTTTAAAGGATGACGTGGCAACTCTACTGTGCCTCCTGATTTGTAGTGAACACAATGGTCACACATTCCTGCTTCATCTCATAATGCAACTGGATCACCAGTCACACTGAATGCTGTGCACTACCCAGGAGACTGATATCTCAACAATTCTTTCCCAAGAGAAAACATGGGGCCAGGCACTGTTGAACTCTTTTGAAATGCTAGTCACCTGACTGTTCTGTTGACCCCCCCCCCCAGGCAACAAGTATGCAGATCAGGAAATTAGAGAAAATTCAAAAGTCCTTATACAGGTGACTCATAAGGGTCAGCATAACAGCTAGGCAACTAGCATTTTTATAATGAGAGATCACCATTGGCAGACAAATTTCTTTCATGACAGGTTTCCTTAAACTACCAGAAGATTTTACCACCTTCATGGCCAAACCATTTTTTGCTAAATCATTGCACGGTCATGCAATGCTCTACCCAAACAATATTTATATAATTTTTTTTCACACAAAATATAGCTTTTTTTTTA